AATAGTTGAGATATACATGATATCAGTAAGAAAAGTTATACTATCTTAATATATTTCTGAAATATTTAAAATAATATTTTTTTTATGAATGCAAAAAGGTATATAGTAAGATAGGAAAAGAATTAATAATAAACATATTCTTGATATATAATATTCAGGATAATTAAATATATACTCTAATATAAATATATTAGTACTTGGCTATCTTATCACTAGTATGTATTTAGATATAATAACATCTAGAATATACTTTTGTATAATTTATTATATAAATATTAGCAGAAAACTACTTTATCATTAGTATATATTCAGGTATATGTGATATATATTGAATACTTAGAGTATCCTTCTTCGAAAATATATAATATAAAAATGAAAGAAGAATATGCTATCATTAGTATTCCAAAATCAATATTATAGCTATCTCTAAAAGCATCCTTATAAAAAATTTTTATAGGAATAGAAGAATTTTATAAGAATACTCAAAAGTTGATATACTTATTATTTTGATCCAGTTTAATTTATGATTAGACCTTGAAAGTGACGAAATAGTATTCTTTTCTTAATTTATCTTTATTTGAATTAGTGATACCTGACGAAATTACCTTTCTTAATATGATGAAATTGACGAAACTAAAATGACGAAACTAGTTTTTTATTAATGACGAAATTATTTTACTTAATTGCCGAAATTATATTTAACTTGATCTAAATTCCTTGAATTAAAATACATTAAAAAATATAATAATTTTATATTTATTTATATAAAAATATTACAGAGACGAAATTTTGACGAAATTACAATTTTTCAAAAAAGAGTTTAGTCAGGTATCACTAATTTGAATAGAGCTAGAAGAAAGTGGAAATGTATTAGAACTAGTTTACAACCTATTTTTTTTGTGTAGTAAGACATAGTATGAATTTGCTTAATTTTGCATTATAGCAGAATTTCTGGTTGAATTTTCACTGAATATTATCTGATACTAAACTATCTAGAAGTACTATCATATAATTTTTCTAATAATATATATAAAGTATATCATATGATTTTCTTAACAATATATGGTTGTTATATGCGAAAATTAGGTTTTAATCATATGATTTATATAGTTTTGCAGAATGATTTTCATATGTACTAACCTATATGTAGAATATATCATATATTTAGAATGCTATCATACTACTATATTAGATCTTCAAATCATGTACTCTAAAATCAGCTAGAGTTATATTATAGTACTTGTCAAAAGTAATAGTAAATTTGACTGCATTATATATATAACTGTAATATGATTTTTATAATCAATGCCAATATAACATCTTGGTCACAAAAAGATTAAAATAAATAGATATTTAGAAGATAATAATAAGTTTATTCTTTCAATGGTTTTTCTTTCAAATTTAAAAGAAATTTTACTTACATTTTAAAGTTAATTTTAAATATATTAAAAATTAGTTATTAAACTAATAATATGGGAGGTGATCAGTAGAAAAGAAGGAAATCTAAATTTTGGTTAAAATTTATATTATTGGATTACTTGGCTGATCTCAGTCATGTACACAAATTTAGTTTAATAATAAAAATTAACAAAAATTTTGGATTTCCCCCATATTATTATAATAAAATTTAAATGTTTTTTGAAAATTTTGTATATATTTAATATTTTAATTATTAAAAATGAAATCTTATTTAAAAATAATAGATTTATAATAAATTTTATAATATATGTTAACTAACAATTAAAAAAAATTGTAAGTTTTTATGTAGAATTTTGCATAATAATTGGTTGAAAATCATGACTAAATTTGAATAAAAATCATTACCATTTAAGGGATAGAGTAATAAAAACAAGTAGATAGCTATAATTTAAATAAAAGGTCACAGAATGGTGAAATCATGTAGATAATATTAATAATAAAAAGATTACAAAGAATTGAAAATAAATAAATATGTATCACTATATACATAAGTAGGTAACAGTATATGCATAAGTAGATAGCATTATAATGTAAGTAAATATCACTATATATACTATATATATAGTGACATCTACTAATGTATTATCTCAATTTGTTTTAGATGATAATATAACTGATACTTATATGAGTCAAATACAATTTTTTTGAGTATATAATACAACTTTTAGATAGAGAAAAAATACATTTATTAGCATTTATAAGATGATATAAGCTAGCAAAATAGTAAAACACAATTTTATTATAAAATAGATAAAGATATTTATAATATCAAATTATGTAATAAAGAATTTTTTGAATTGAAGCGTGATTGTGTTATACCAATTTATAATATTTTATGATGTTTCATTGCTAAAATAATAACAAGTGAGAATAAAAATTATCTAAATAAATTTTATATTTAAATTCTAATATAAATAATATAATTTAAATAATATAACTTTTATATTTTTATTATTTATCTATTTAATATTTATATTAGATCAATGATTTTGTTACATTTAAATAAACAAATTAATAGATGCTTTTAAACCTATAATTATTATTTTAATAATTATTTTTATAAAGGGCTAGTCTAGTTTTATATATTACTCAAGATAACAAATGAAAAGTTATATTATTAAATTATAATTACATTATGACTAAATTTTGATTCTTAAAATTCAATAATTATATCTTAAATCAACGATTCTAAATACAGCAATATTACTAAACATATAATATTTAAAAATCATCAAATTTGTATAAAAGGAAACTATTTTTAATTTTATTTAGTTATCCAAAACTGGTTTAATTTATATTGTAATAGATCACTAAAAATAATTTTTAATTTAACCATTCTTGTAAGTACGCGATTTTATTAATATCACGTGTCCACTGATTAAGTTTGGTTGAACGAAAATGTTTGTTAAAAAAAGAAACCTCCCATTACACGTACATACAATTGGTTAGGGAACTCGAGCCACATAAGAGCATCTTTTCGATTGTTTGTCAACATCATCGGGAAATTAGATAAAAACCGAAAAATCTTTTTCTATTCCTAGTATCAAGCATTCGCCATATGACTTTATGCAAATCAAATCATCACAAACTCAAATATTTTCTTCCGCCTTGAAGAAAAAGCGAAATATCACATAAATAGAACGTCATCTGTCGCCCAATAACTAGGGTTACCACATAATTGTAACATAAAGAACCCATGAAGGCAGTATTAGAAATAATCTACAATGTACTTTTTGGATTAATATAACGATATAAAGTACAAGACAGTTTTGTTTTGCATCATGTTTGCATATGTCAATTTTTTGTAGTTATCTTCAAAGTGGGCGTAACTTTTTTTTTGAGTTTGACAGATATTTAGTTTAAAATTTGGTTACAGTAATCAATGATTCTTTTTCGAACGATTGTTCTAAATATTCGGGAAATTTTTTTTATTTTTTTTTTTCATTCAGCTGATTTTGAGATCTTTTCAACAATAATTACATTTCAAGAAATTCATTTATTATTTTACAAAATTCTGCTTGAACTGAAAAAAAAAAGTTTATCTAACATCAAAGATACTATAAGTTTCCAATAAAGTTAGGTTAAAGTTAAATGAATAATAAATTAAATTTGTTTATTATTTGTTTTGTGTGGAGTACTTGAGTTTTTTTTTTTTGTTTAATACTTTATGGGATTGTGTGGTGGAATTACTTATGGTGGTTGGTGATTTGGCGGTTTTATTCATGAAATCAACAATGACCTCGGAGCTTATACAATGTTTTTTTTTATTTTTTTTTTTCGAAAGGAAAAGAATACATTAGTTTAAAAAAATTACCTAACTTTATTCAACTAGATAGACTTCACCTTCTTAAACATACATGATAACCATAATGAAATGTAAATAAATAAATTAAACAAGAATCGAACAACATTTGACATTGTTCCAAATCTGGTCAGAAAGACGAGCAAAAAAAAAATGGTTCGCGTGAAGATTATTATTTCATCAACGGTTCTTTCTTTTCCCATCACAATTAAAGATATTGTATTATCGGGTGTGGCTCATTGTTGTGGCATTGTTAACATGAATGTCCAAGTGGTACTAAATTAGGTAAGGATAAGACTTTCGATTCATACTAAACGTCATCATCTTGGGTTAATCACGTTGATGATGGGTAGTTCCAATCAAAAAAAATAATTAAATAATAAAAAGTAATTCCTTAATTTAGAATAAGTTGGGCCTGGTTGGTTTGGTAAAACGAAAGAATCAAAAATCCAGGAGTTTAATCGAAATTTTTATTTCATTTTTTATTTTATTTTTTTATCAAAAGACGTTCATTCATCTATCGACTTCTGCTTTTATGTCAGTCACATCAACTTATCATCTCTTAATGACATAATTATCGATTTTACCCTTTATCAACAAAAGAGGATCAAAAAAGAAAAGAAGAATAAAATATTTTGGATTCGATTTTTATATTCGTTACAGTAATACCTTTGTGCAACATGAAAAGACTATAATAAATAATGCATTGTCACACAACTCTAGAATTCATCAAAAAGTATATTATTAGAAGGGTAGATGAGCCGATAATCCTTTCGGAAACTTGCTGTTGATTGAAAAACCCGGTGTTCCAACAACGTCCAACTTAACATATTTATAATTAGTTGGACAACAAAAATTACGAACGGCACAATTGTACAAGACACAACTTTCTGTAAAAGAAATTTTTTTTTTATAATTTAGTGACATAAAGAACAAATATATATATATATATAATATATATGTACTTTGAGTGTATTTTTTTTCTGTAAATTATTTGGTTTATAAGAGATTATTATTACGGAAATAACCAGATAGTTTCATATTTGGAACGAAACTATAACTAAGTTATTAGATTCCGAAACTGAAAAAAAAAAAATTATAAAAAATTTGTTTCGTCGTAATTTTTTTTTTTTTGTAAATATATATTTTTATTTTATTACTACTTTATCTTTCTATCGTAAATATCACTTAAAACCTTTCCCAAGCTTAGAATGACCCCATGCAATTAGCTCCTTCTCCAGTACAAATACATACATCCTTAGCACCTTCACCTATTGTCAATCCGAAACTCAAGTCAACAACAAAAGTTACGAAACAGTCCAACCTTCCACCAAAACGTCCTCGTACTCGAACGTCATCCTCAACTCCTTTGCAAGTTCAACAGCAAAAAACTCAATTGCAACAACCCCAAAAAATTAAAAAAGTCTCCACAAAGGTTGCCAATAAAGAGGTCTCCCCAAGAAAACCTTCCACGTCTTTGGTCGGCTCAAGTCACTTATCTAATTTGAATTGTATGTCTCCAAGTGAAGTATCTGTGAACATTTTGGGTAAGTTTATCGACTTACCAATGCAATTTTTTCTCTTTTTGACGTTTAATATTTGGTGATCCTTTTGATTTGGGTGGAAAGATTTGATTAGCATTGGTTTAAAGTGAATGAAATGTTTAATAAAGGAAAAAAACTAATGTTCATTAGGCCATCTTAATTAAAAAAGCAATTTTTCTTCTTTCGATATTTTACTGCGGGCATTTTAAAATTGGATTTTCCGCTTTGTTCATTTTTTCTTATTCTTATTTTAGATAAGTGGTGATCTTTCACATCTCAAACGGCAAAATCATTATATAGCTAAACTTTTATTTATTTTCATTTAGAAAAATCTAATATATTTTCATCATCACTTCATCAAATTTTATCATTAGTTAATCATTATTATTATTATTACTAAATTATTTTTTAAAAAAAATCTTTTTTTTTTTTTTATTTCCCTTTCCCCACTTTATATGATTTATCGTCTTGACCTTATCAATAATAATTATAATAATAATAATAATAATTTTCGATGATGACAGATTCTTCCCAAAAATCTTCAACGTCGTCAAGACGATTGTCTGTTGTTTCAACGTCCTCTTCTACTTCTAGTACTCTGTCAGGTCAAATAACTCGGCATCGTTCTCAGCATGGTAATACTGGCAATTCTGCTATAAATAATGTTCCAAGTGTTCCTGATTTCCCAAATTGGTTATCACAACCACCTGTAAGAAATAGTACATCATCATCATCTTCATCATCACAACAACCACAACAAGCCACTTCAAGGATTAGTTCTTCACCGCATAAGAAATCTCTCGGTGTTACGAGAGCTTCTAAAGACGAAAATTCCATGACGTCGGTTTCTTCGGGTCAGCCTGTTCGAAGTAAATCACGCCATAAACAGCCTACAGAAGATTCTAAAAATGAGGCAACTACTAGCAATGAGTCAAAACAAATCAAAAAAGCTAAATATAAAGCTGCTACCGAGGAAGCCTTGAAACGATTTAATGATTTGCAAATGGTGGAGCATAAAATTGCTAGTCAAACTAACGAGGTTATGGAGAGAATGAAAAATCTCTTTCAACCAAAGAGAGATGATGCTAGTGACGAAGAATCTTTTAGTTCAATTGCAGGCGATGATTTATCAGGAAAACACGGATATGTTGGGTAAGTGTTTTATTAATATCATTGAAAAAACCATTTTAAAAGGTTGAAAAGGTTGGAAGAATAAAAATATTATATGTGTAAAGATTTTATTCTTTTCTCCTATTTTTTTTTTGCCAAAATAAGAAGAAAAAAATAAATCATCATTTTATTAGGGATATTTTAATATTAACAAAATATTCCTTACTTCAAAGAAATGACAAATCACGTCGCGCACCTTCTGCTTCAAAACGCACACCATCGACACCGGCCACGCCGGTCAAGCCATCAGTGACGAGACGTACGAGTCAAGATTCAGAAAGGCCAACGAAAACCAGTACATCTGCGTCTGGTATTGATCGTCAAAGAACAAGAACTATAGATTCATCAATGCTCAGCAGTCTCAGATCAAGTCATAACCGATATGCTAGTGAAAATTCAATTACAATGTCAACTGAAAGAAAGTCATTGAAAACAGCACGCTCCGAGGAGAAAATAAGATCTGCCGCAGAAAAACAAAAAAAGGTAGAGAAACGAAAGACGATCGATTCATCGATAAAGTCAACTGCTCTCGAACAATTGGATAGATTTACATCTTTTCAAGATTTTAACTCAAAACGAAGAAGTATAATTGATTCCTCATCAACACCATTGGAATTTGATAACGGCGATTCTCATCAATATGGCTTATCGCCATCACCTTTATGGCCTAGTGTGAGCAAATCAAAGACAATGCCAATAACACCACCGCCATCAACACTTTCTTCAAAATTGCCACCCCCTATGCCAGCTCGTAGTTCAAGTTTTAGTAATTCAGAACAATGTCCTTCATCAAAAAACAATCAAGGCACGGACAATAATACTCCTGCTAGTTCAATAGAGAATACGTCTACTACATCATCGTCATCTACGAAACGAAGGAAATCTAAAATAGATCATGCTAAATCCGGTTCGCCGAATTCAAGTGTTTCTTCCCCAAAAACAACTTCAAGTCGAACGACGACGCCGACGACGATCGCATCACATCGATTGTCTCATCCTCCACCTTTAAAAGATGCACAACCTCCGCCTCCTGTTCCAAATATGCCAAGCATGTTACCGCAGCCCAAATTAACTAGAGTTAACGAAGAAATTCCTCCGGTACCAGCTATACCTCATTCAATAAATAGCGAAAAGAAAGTTTCGATTTCTATGTCAAGCACAAAAGGTTGTGAAGAAGTTTTACCACGCGGAAGAAGGGATAATAGGAGTACGGATGGGCATCGTCCACCGTCGTCTTCTACAAAGAAAAAGAGTCAAAATCGACCCAGAGGAACGGTATGTTATGTGAAAATTTATTTTCGTTTAAATAGCATAGCTTTAGTTTAGTTAATTCAATACTTAAGCTATATATCATGGTTTGGTTTAAAATTACGTTAGATGAGCGGTCAACAGCAAAGTGATAAGATTATCAGAAGACAGGTTGGATTTATTTTTAGTAACACTACCATTTTCCACGTTTACTTACCATTTTTTAATTTCTGAATAAATGTGTTTAGACCCTTCCAGCAAATATTGCGGCTCCTCAACAATTAGCTGCACTGACACTTCCTCCCATGAATGTACAACCATTATCAACCGTGAGAATACCCACAATCGTAAATCCGAACCTTAAGGCAAAAACTCCAACTTCTGAGCACCCTCGATCTGGATTGAGAATACCGACTACGCCAACAACTTCCACAAATCCATTTACAAAAATTCCTACACCTACAGGAATACAATCCAGAATAATAAAGAGTGGGAGTGGAATTGCGTCACCTAGCAAAGTAAATTCTCGAGCTGCACCGGTTTCACCGAATAGATCATACGGCTATGCTAATCAAAAATCGATGAGTTCTAGTGCGACATTTAATCCATATGGCTCATCAACAACGACGATGGTAATAACGGGTAGAAAAAGTGCTACCACCCCCTGCAAAACAACGTCTTCCGTTGACAAAGGTAATAACACTTTAAAGCTCTTTTTTAATAAACAAGATATATTCAAACTCTGTTAACGTCAACTAACATACACATACTTGTAATAGCACATACTAGTAATGAAAAAGTTTCACCAAAAAGCAAACCAAGGAGGCTATCAAACTCTTTTATAAATCTTTTCTCGAACAAAAATTCGCACTCGTCCGCTTCATCTCATGCAAAAACAATTCCGATAACATCAAGTGCGGCTTCTACCTCAATTACAACTCATTCAAATCTTCAACCAAAGAAGCTGAAGGTTAGAACGACTTCTCAACCTGCGCACCCTGTTATTTCAAACTCGAACTTTTTAAGCTCTTATGTTTCGAAGAACCCAACCGGTTCTACTTACCATATTGATTTGGACTCCTCATCATCTGCTGCCAGTACTCCAAGCAACTTTGCTCATGCGAGTCAGGACGACGAATTCACTGTAACAAGTGGGGAAGAAGAGACTGCCAGTTTCTTACATGAAACCGAAAAGAGAGAGAGAGATCGCAAAGAACATGAGAGGGATCGTAAAGAACATGAGGCACAAATGAAGGGAACCCTTCCTATGAGTCCCCAATCCGCTTTGAAAGCATACGCACCTTATTTGTCATTGTATGAACGTTCTGAAATTTTGGAGTATCCGAACGTCTATTTTGTTGGTCCTGAAGCTGCGAAACCACCTGCAAGCCCAGAGTTAACCGGATGTAATTACGGATTTGATGATGAAAGAGGAGACTACAAAATTATTCCCAAAGATCATTTGTGTTATCGATATGAAGTTATTGACATCCTTGGAAAAGGTTCCTTCGGCCAGGTGCTGAAGTGTTTAGATCACAAGACGGGAGAATACGTAGCTGTGAAGATTATCAGAAATAAGAAGCGATTTCATTGTCAAGCCTTGGTGGAAGTTAAGATTTTGGAATGCTTGAACAAATGGGTACGTGTTAATAAAAGAAAATCATAGGTCTTTTTTAAAGGGTTCTTTCGAATTAACTTTTTTTTTAAAAAAAAGGATCCCGATGACACTCATAATATCATTCATATGAATGATCATTTTTACTTCCGAAACCATCTATGTATTGCATTTGAGCTCTTAAGTATTAATTTGTATGAATTTATCAAGAGCAGTAATTTCCAAGGATTCAGCCTTGGCTTAATCAAAAGGTATGATAAACCGATTAGATCCCTTATAAGTATAAAACGTCATAACCTACCTATTTAATAAATAAAATTACAGATTTTGCGTCCAGCTTCTTAACTCTTTGTCGTTATTACAAAGACATAACATTGTACACTGTGACTTGAAACCAGAGGTAAATTTAATCCTTGAATTTTCATAAATTGCAAAATCTTTGCTAATTTATCTTTATTTATTTAGAATGTATTGCTCAAACATCCTACAAAGAGCAGCATTAAAGTTATTGATTTTGGTAGCAGTTGTTTCGAAAACGAGAAAGTCTACACTTACATTCAAAGTAGGTTTTACCGATCTCCTGAAGTCATATTAGGTATGACATATAACATGGCGATTGATATGTGGAGCTTAGGTTGTATTCTAGCTGAATTGTATACTGGTAAGTAAATTACTCTATACATTAATTTTGATGAATCTTATTTAATGATGTCAATCATAATCATTTTCCTTTTATATTCATACAACAGGATATCCTTTGTTCCCCGGTGAAAATGAGCAAGAGCAACTGGCATGCATTATGGAAGTTTTGGGTGTCCCAGAGAAGTATTTGATAGAAAAAAGTACTCGCAAAAAACTTTTTTTCGGTAAGGGAAAACGATCAAATGTTTACAGTTTACTTTATTTGAAAATCAATGATACGTATTATAACTCCGAACCTTCATTATAATAGATTCCAATGGCAATCCTCGTCCTGTTGTGAGTTCTAAAGGAAAGCGCCGTCGTCCAAACACAAAATCATTGGCGAACGTATTGAAATGCCAAGATCAAGTCTTTTTAGACTTTATCGCTCGGTGTTTAGACTGGGATCCCGAGAAGCGAATGAAACCTGATGAAGGTTTGATGCATGAGTGGATCACGGAGGTGAAACTTGGCGTAAGTATATATATAAATTTAAGTTTTTGTTTGATCGTAACATGACGTTATTAAATTTTAATCCTTTAACTATGTTTTAGACTAGGAGTTACTTCACAAATTATGATAATATGCATCGTCAAGCATCTCCCTCCTCGGCTCCCGCATCCAATAGCGCCGCTTCTGGACGATATACATACGCGCCCATAAGTGGGACGAATGTGGTAGGTTTTTGTGGTGGAGATAAATATGATATATCAAGCAGTGAAGCAGCAGGATTTCCCGAGAAAATGGAAAGTGTAAGGTTATGTTTACTGAAATTCCGATGCCGGAATTTACTTAGGATGGTGCCTCTCATGGATTATCCCCTTCGGATAATCATCATCATCATCTTTGGAATGTGACGTCATAATTTTTGTTTACATCAGCATTGGTACTGCGGTCACAATGCGTATTTTTCAACTGCGGCGTTTTTTTTTCGGTTAATTTCTTGCTTCTTTTTATTTGGGAAAATATATATTATATATGCCGACCTGCTTGATTATATACATCCTGTTACTAAGAAAAAGTTTTTATTTTTTAAAAAAAATTTCGAATTTGCAGTTGAAATTGTAACTAAATTTTTTTTTTTGTTCTCGTTTCTTGTTTCTCTTTCACAAATTTTCAGTTAAAAACGCGAAGGGTCATTCCATAAGTTTTTCCAATTCATCTAAGATAATATATATATAAGTAATTATATATAAACCTTTTAAAGAACTTAAGGAGTAAGGTTATGAAATTGAAGTCATACCTCCCCCATGGATACTTCCGGGACTTTTTCCTTTTTACATGGCTTAATGTTTTAAGATCTTTTATTTCCCTTCCTAAAAATTCATCTTCCATGTTTGTTACGAGACTAATATGCCGAGTATGCAAATCATGAACTTTAGACAACTAAGCAAACTAAAATATACATTACATATAACCATCAGGAGACTAACAAAAAAAAAACACTATAATTTATTTAGTTAGTATTTCAAATAAAAAAGAAAAAAAAGAAATATTCCCCTTAGCGATGAGTGATGACTATTATTGTTTCTGAATCATTCAATATTAATTAAATAAGTCTAGAAAAAGTTAAAAGATAGATTTAAAAGATGATTGGGGAAGAAATTAGTTAGAGTGATTCCTTTATCTTTTTTTTCTTTTTTCAAAATTAAAAATAATTTTTTTTTGGCTCAAAAAAAAAAATATATATATATACATATATACATACAAAAAAAAATATATATATATTTCAATAATAATTGAAATAGTTAATACTTCCTCATTGGGAGCAAAAAAATGTTTTTTCTTGAATTGTAATTATTATTTCTTTTTTTTTTTTTTTTGTAATTTTATTTTTTTTTTTTGTTGTAAAATTTGTTTGGATTGAATTTTTGAAAGATATTTTCATGTATCAGTTTAAAAGATACTTTATAACCATTTATTATAAAAAATTCTTTTTTTTTAAAAAAAAAAAGCATAATTTATAATGTTAATTTTTTTAAAAATTAATGCATGTAAATAAAATAATATAAAATAAAAAGCTAATATCAATTATTTCTTTGAAGTTTTATATTGATAATATTATATTTTAATCAATTAAGTCATATGGGAGCATTTCTAGTAAAATCACATTACAGATCATATGATTTAATATGCCTCATGATTTGATTTTACTGGAAACATTCCTATATAGAAACATTATTATAACTGTTTTTTTGTAACTCTTTAAAGAAAGAAATTTTTTTGAATTAAATTAGTTTTTAAATTATTATTCATAAAATTTTAATAATCAAATTGTATTTATATGGTAAAAATCAATTTTAATACCAATTATATAAAAAAAAAAATCATATTTAACATATATAGTTTTATTGTAATTCTGAAAAATAATCTGTATGAAAAAAGTATATAGAAATAATATAATTAAAAAACATATAACATACATTGAAAATTATAATAAATTTGTATATATTTCCTTATATTAGATACTGAAAATTGCCTTTTTTTATATCTAGAAAAATATTGAATTTATATATCTAACTAAAAGTTACGATATGCAGAAGATTTCATCCCTTATTAAGCGTTAGATTAAATAAATATCTTATGTTTTATATATATTATAAATCAACAATATTCGTATTTACATAAATATTTTATTGTATTTGTAAAATAATATAATAAATTTTAAAAGTTTTTCAGTGAATATTTTATTAGATTTATTATTTTTATTAAAAATAATTATTTAAATATATATTATTTACAAAGGTAAATAAGTATTTAATTTTTATTCTAATTATTTATATTCTTTAAGCATTGATTTATCTGTAATAAATGCTAAAAAATGTAATGAAGCGATATGCACTTTTGATCAATCAAAGCATCGGCTTAATATAACATAAGCTTGACTAGCAGAAAAAATTTCTTGATCAAGATATAACAATACTTCAGATAATAAGCCTTGTATTTTTTGCACTATAAAAGCAAAAGTAATTTATAAGAAAAATTGATACCTACTTGATGGTTTTCTATCTATCAAAAATATAGATATTTCTTTTTTAATTCCAATATTGATAATTTCACCTATTACACTAAAAGTAATTCTTATTTGCAAAGGATTTAAATTAATATCTAATATAATACCAATAATACCATTATACAGTGGCTTCCAAAAGAAACGCAAGTGGCATTGCTTGCCTTTAATTGCCTGTAACTCACTGTGCACGAATGCT